TTTTTGGGGGGGGGGGGGGGGGGGGGGGGGGCGCTCTCTTCGGGGTAGAGGAAGTTGAACAATATGATTTCTCGACTTTCGCAGGTGGAGCGACTTCCCACAGTGAATGCACATCAGAGCGAACGAAGAACATACCTTGGTGTGAACCCACTGTGTACCGGAATAATTTCTTTTCCGAACGCAAATTTCTTCGATCGACCAAACGTAGTAACATCATTACGCAACAACAACATCTCGACAGCCATCGATTTTGTTGTTTACACTCTTGGCAGGCGCATAGCCCACTAGCGTTATTACTACTACCACCAGTAGGAAGAAGCCATTATTTTCCCAACTGGCATGCGGGAAAAAAACAACTACGCAGTGTGTGCAGGATCTGTTCCATCGTGACAACAGAATTGGAAGAGTGCACATTTCCCTGTATGTACACACAATTGGTGGTTAGGCTTAATTGACCTCTGAGCGCACATGTATGTCTGTCTGTTTATTCTAGTGACCGGGGTTCTTCTTTGAAAAAATGAACTATGTGGGGCATGTCGCAAGCCATACAAATCATAACCAGACATAATGGAGGGTTGTAATAGCAGTGTCACCTGATTAGAGTAATCACAGGACTGGAAGACTGATCCTCACGTGATCACTAGCTTATCACAACACCATTTTGTCCGGGATAATAAGTGTCCTGTCTTTTAACAAAAAGATTGACGTACCAACTTCCAACGGCTGACGCAGCAGGATTTTGACCGATGGTTGGTCCACTACCAATCACGTAACTCTACAGAGGCAGTTGCTTAACGCGATGGGTGCAAAGGTCAGTCTATAGATATCGGAATATCAGTTACTCTCGTTTACGTTTTGCACGGCACGGCACGACATAATACAGTACGTAAAACGAGTTGACCGGTTCGAAACAGAGGGATAAAATTGGCCTACTGGAAACTGCAGTTGAGTCAAGGCACGCATTGAAGTCTTAGTACCGTAATCAATCAGGAAGGTTGCCTCTACAGATTGGGTCTCATAGCTAATTTATCTTCAGCAAAATACACTCATTTGTAGACAAATTTGGTTTTGCTGGGGGCTCACCTGTAACCCAGCTGAATCTCCTGTTTATGATGTTTTCAAATGTTTACGCATGAGTGTATTTCGCTAATTTCGTGCAATTTGGATCCAAGTAGAGTATGAGGTTGACGAAAACTCGGGAACTGTGCCTACCTGATGAGCCCTAGGATGGGAGAAACCGGTCGTGGGCTGTCGAAGAAATTTCAGCAACTTTATGAGTAGTGCATTACGTCTATAGTTTATCTCCACCTTTTACATCATATGGCCGTCAGTGTCTCCACTTTCAGAGGCCTGGTTGAAGCTACTGTCCTTCATTCTGTCACAAAATATACTAAATCGAGTGGTTTATTCATATAAGTGAGTTGAAATTTAATTGTGCGTGCCTTCAAATTCAGAAAACAGTTCCTTCATTTGGTTGGAATAGTTTTCCCGTTTTATAGACCTAAGCACAGAACACTTGTTAGCAAACTGTTGTTAAAGTCTTAAGAATTACTGCAATAATGATGGCTTATAGCTAGCAGGTCATTCTCTAGTCGTTCTCCCAGGGAACACCCAAATAGGTTTACCTTGGTAATGTTACCTTTTAAAACGCCATTCTCAGGCATCCGGCAATTAAGTTGTCCACGAAACGTGGCTTTTCTTCAGAGCAGAACAGGATGAATGATTGTGAATCATGTTTTCTCAGAATAATACACTACTTACAGGGCTACTGAAAACTTTCGGAGAGCCAACTATTAATACCCTCCTTAGGTTCACCAGGTAGTCTCAGTATCCGAGTACGTTCTGAACCTCAAATTTTAGGGAACTCGCAAACTACACTCCTTTGCAAATCACCTTCATATTTAGGGCCTGCGCACTTCTGATGATCCTCAACGGGAGTCGACTCGAATACGTTTCGACGACCCCATGAGTGCTAACGTCATATCGACCAAAACATGAGGCGGCCTCCTTAAAGCCCGCCCACCTGAAGAATATCATATAAGTGATAGTCATCTGAGTCTCTCCTCAGCGCGAACGTGACTACATCTTGGTCCGGTTCGTAAAAATGAATCTTTCTTGGTCCCAATGTGGCCCCAATAAGGTAGAAATCGATCGCGGGATGTCGAACAGTTTTCAGCATTACGCCCGTTCAATGAACGTGAGTTTCATTCAGTTGTGATCCAGTCAAGTGAATAACTGTTGTCCGATACAGCAGAGAAAAGCCAACGACTGGTGCAGTATTCAATGCCGACGAAAATTGTGGAATGCAATCAAATCTCATAGTAGAACGTAGAAGAATAGCATTTAAAACAGAGTTCATTTTTACTTTTCCGGTGCCAATGAGTTCGAGATGCCTGTCATCACAGGTACTGACGAACAACAATGTTTCTGCGAAAGGTGACCAGTGAATTGTCGAAAGTTTTTCATATTTTATCGCTTGCCACAAGCCCAAGACTATAGCTTCACAAAAACAGGCGGTAGATAGTACCCAGTCAGAGGACGGCAACAGATTGTCATATTAGAATATCCACCGTGAACTTAGACGTGCTACAAACTGTGAGATGTAACTTATTTTTGTGGATATTTCGTCCTGTAAGTGAAACTAACCTATGCTAAAAAGCCGTGAAGCTATGTACAGCTGTCTCATCCTTATTGGGAATCATCAGCAGTGCGAATCTCACGAAACCCCGAAGAGTCTCGAACCCGCGGCCTCCTAGCTAGTAGTTTGAACACTTAGCTGTTCGACCACGAGTGGCTTATCAGCAGTGTGATTAACTCGCACTTGGACAGGATATAGTGACCTCATCCTTCAATCGCGGGATCCACATCACGTGGTCCTACAACGCCTTCTCCCAGTGATCTGCTCCTGAAAATCTAAAAGCTTTCATCATCATCGATAGTCCAATATACAATTCAGATGCTATCCCCACTAATTTTGTTGGGAATAGAAAAAAGGTGCTCACACCTGAAGACACACTCTCGAGAGAAATTGACGACAAGTACGTCACTGTTATCAATTGGTGTCTGTATTTTCCGGTGCCCTTGATTATGCACATTGGGGATCACTCGGTCCCCGTTTAGGAGGGCGAGTCGTGTAGACAGGAAACGTTTTCGTATCACTCGGTTTGGTAGAATTTCGATCCATCCTCTGCCTGCATCACCGTTAATTGGCATGGAGAGCAGCCATGACAAACCAATGCAGTTTCTGGTTGTGGAATTTGTCAACCATTGACGTTGCACGACCACATACTGTCCATGTGTTCCGTTACGCATATGGGCTAAGGTTCTGATACAATGGTTGTCGAACACCTGAAGACTTCGCAGTTTGGATGCTTGAGAAGGTCCTGCAGCCGTGTAACAAAACAGCTTGTACAGTAGCCTAATACACACGTCTTCTGAGATTCAAAGATATACCGCTTGGCCCCACAAATGTTCAAACTTAAAAAAACACGACATGGCCTTCGAAGATCTGTGAACTGACCTCATCTGTCACATTAAAGTTAGAACTTCTGCAGCTCTAACATAGGTAAAAACGCTCGCCGTCTTGGATTGTCTCACCTTGGATTTTAGGTGGCATGTTCAGCGACTGCATACTCAGAAGCATTAGTTTGATCTGTGTGGGCGATAAAAGCACGGATACGTCGTCTAAGAGCGAGTAGGCCATATTCTTCCTTGAGGAGACGAGAACGAGGTCGTCTGCGTATTCCAGATTGACAAGATCTTCTTCACAAGCTATCTGAATATCAATGTTTTGGAAACCTTCCAGCATTATTATCGATCACGAAAGTGAATCGGAATGGAGAGAGTGCGCGTCCTTTTTTCGCATAACAGTTTGTGTACATGAGCTTTTGGAGAGCGCTCCGTATACTCTAACAGGCCTGAAATTCTGAGAATAATAGTAAAACATCCTATTGACAAAACTCTGCGGCACTGCTTGCTGAGAAAGGGTATCAAGGAAGGACCGGCCAGCAGAGTGAAATGTTCCGTGAAAATCCAGAAATGCTAAAGATTTGGGCTAGTTTTACCAAATTCCACGCGGTTGATTATGGACCATTTGGTACACAAAAATATGTTAACTTAGACAAGTAATTCTGTGAATCCCCACAGAAACGTCCAAAGGACAAACACCACTGATTGTCCGTCACAGATGGTGGTGAATTCAGTTGCCTTGGTTTGATAACCAGGCGCCTGTGTCACTATATTGGTTGTGATTATAAACTGCTTAGTCCAGGCCAACCGACACAAATAAATTGCTCTTTTTCGTGCGTATTGCAAAGATCACTATTCGGAGATTTGAAATGCTTGGTATTAGACTTTGATCTGAAAAGAAAAGCATGCGATGGAGAAATTCGAAAGCACTGTAAGCCTATGTTGGATAGAAACTTTTTGTTTTGTACTGTTTACTAACAAGGACTCTGAAGCGTGCCGTAGTCAAACATTCACTGTGTAAATTTATTCTATTCAGATGTTACTGTTTCCCATAGCCCTTCAAAAAGTTTCTAGGTAACTAGACTATTCTGAATTACGAGCAGAAAGCTATTTTTATTGAACGAGGTGTAAGATGATATTCCACAGTTCTCACGTGACCTTGAAGAGCTAGCCTCGCTATTATCACCAATCCCAATGGTGTCAGCAATTTTTTTCTTGAATTTATGAGAAACCAGTTTTCTGAATCAATTCTCGGGGTTGAAATGAAGAAAAATGGGGTCAAACGGTTTAATGTGAATAAATGCTTTCAAACAAAGTACTAGGTGAACTCAAATAAGGCACTTCCTGAAGTGAATCGCCTTGGAACTGATAAAGAATCACTAAAAAACACTGCCCTTTAGATTTGTGTGAGGGTTTCTAACTAATGAGGCGCCGTTTCTTACTTCGGTATGAGGTCCACCATTTGCTCAGCCAAGTAAAGAAGCCTCCCCTTGTAAAGGAGCATTTTTAGCCTGAAGTGATGATCATTGACCTCCCTGGATGATGCGTTTAGTGGTTATTTTTAACCATAAACACCCATCTCATATACGTGCTTGCCTGATGAGTCTCACAACTAACTTATTATGTTAATTAATCGAGAGGCATACGTTTTTTGGGTGATATCATTTTGTGGGATATTGCTCACGGTTGTTTCAACAAAGTCTGCACTCAGAGTGAGTGCTATTAACTCAGCAAACATGCAAGGTGCGAAACTCAGGAAAATGTGTGGCGCGCAACAGAATGACTGGACGAATGTGTTCACAAAACATATTCCCAATGGATGAAACGACGGAACATGTGAAATCGGTCTCCATTTATGGAGCACGAGGATATCACGGCCTGGGCTTGTTGGCAAAAACTCAGTGCTTATGTATGAGCATATTTATAGATTGGAGTATGAGTAGCAGAAGCCCGTTCTGTCTAAAGAATATCCATAGCGATGTTCTCCTCAATGCGGCCTTCGAGTTGAGTTTGGATTCTACAGATTTCCCTTCCAAAGTACGAGTCCCCATAGTACACTGTCTGCCTCACATGGATTATGGTGAGGGAAACTCAAATAACTAAGCAACAAAAGCTAAACAAAAGTTTCCTGGAATCTTCGGGCTCGTTGACTTTTTCTGGTCAATTGCGATGGACTTTGGTTTTTCTGGAGGCATTGTCAAAAGCCGGTCATTCCTTTAATGTCAAAAGTTAGCTGTAGAGAATCACAATGGAGACAGACATACTGAACTTCAGTCTATTTAGGCTATTTTGGGGAGGGTGCAATTGATGAAAAAATGAGCACTGAATCAAGAAGTTAATGGATTCACGGCGCTGGATTTAGAATCTCTGGAGACCTGTTCGCCAAACCGAGTTACAGTTCTTGAGTTGGTGACTCCCAGTTAGCCACCAAATAAAACTGTGCACAGTATCCTCGTATTCGAGTACATTAAAAGCCGAGGGATTCAAAATTTCTAGATTATTATCCACCCTTTAGTTTTATTTAGGTCACAAACAAGCATAGTTGTAGAATAAACGCCATGTTCGAACAATGTCCTGATAATTGAGTCGTGAGTCCCGGAGTTCTGCTAGAACCAACCGACCAACCAATGCCCTAGGGGCAAATTAAAACTTCCTACACACTCTACAGCCACGTTAACAAGTGTTGGAAAGTTGCGACAGTTAACTTAACTCTCTGATTTGCAATGTAGAACTATGTAGAATCCTATTTTCTTTTTGTGTTCCCTAGGTTGGATTAAGAATCCTTCGAATCACAGTGGTAATCCCTATCGTTTGTTTTTAACCCTATTTGGCAGCATCACCAGCCGACTCTCAGGGCTGTAAGAGTGAATACGATCCATTTGGCAAATCTTTCAACTGGTATTCGGCGAAGAACATCATAGCCGACGTGGTTAGTGAACCCGGTCATCGACTACCTGGTATCCAATCTTGCAAACTATCATATAGATTCCCAGGTTTGTATTCAATAGACATCAGTTCCATTTTGGAAGTTTATTCTGTTCAAGCCTAAGGAGGCATTATTGAACGCGAAAAGGTTGTTTGAACCCTGACTCATGAAACTAGACCTATTCAGAAGAGTATTTGTGAATGGTCCGGTCCAGCACAAATGCCTTGTTGCAGCGTAAGGAGGAAATTCATCCATGTAGTTACTGTAGTTTTAAAGCAAACCTGCACACATTTCAGCCCTGGATTTTCCGATTTTTTAACGATGAATGCAACCAGTATAGGTTCGCACATGCAAATCTTCCGTTATCCTGAATGTGCACTGATTGTTTGAAAAAGCTAATCATGGGACGCAATTCTCAGATGACCGAAGTTGCCTAGCGACCACAATATAATTATCATTAAAAACGAACTACTTGATGGTATTCAAGTAGGCACCGCACTAAAGAGATTTTCAGTGAAGAAGAGGGATACGGTCAAGATCTGACAAGCTATTGGACTCTGGGTACAATATTTTTCTGAACAGCATGTCAACACATCACTTCCGATCCTCTAGGCACCCTGGATTTCTGTTGTAAATCTGCGGTAAATTATCTACCCTCAAATGGACTGTTCGAGCCATGAATGATCCTTTGTGACCGGTCAATACGCATTCTTCGTTACTTTGCCTCATAAATGTGCCTTGAGATTTGGAACCATGTTTAAACAAGAAACTAAACTATCTGAATTGCGTAGCCAAAAGATCTGCTGCTTTGTACACTTGTAGGGAATTGGAAATACAGAAACGTTCGCCAGCACCAACGATGAGTAAACCTTTTTGTTTCTTGCGATTGCATTCATGGGTAAACGGTTAAACTTTACGCTTATGTGCATGGAAATAATGGAAGACCTCCCCTGATAAATTAGTACAACCAGATGAATTAAAGACCAGGTGTACCTACACAAAGAAAATATGCCAGTACATACAAGAGATGTTGTTAGTCTATAGAGTATCTCAGCAACCGGTGTCAGGTGATTTCCAATGCGGTCAAATCTATCATAGCCACACTGATGATTTCATCTATCCAAGCAAGAAGGGGATTTTATCCAGCATTGTTGAAAATTAACAGGTCACTAGTTGTGCGTTTGTTTCCGATGGCATGTTTCTGTTCAGTTTTTTTTTGCTTCAGTTTACTTTACAATTTCAGCTGAACGAACATGATGACGTTACCAAGAAGACATGCGTTCGTATCACTCTCGTTTGAACTATCCTCATTCTGGCTAGGCTCAACTATTTTGGTAGGAACACTAGACTCGAATTTGTTATTACTACAAGTCATCAAATGTGCCCATCCTCAATCGCACCGAAATTTGTATTTCAAATATCTACATATGAGACAAACTTATCACAACTACTCAACCAGGCCGCACTGGATGTGCCTGAATAACCATTCATGAGCAAGGGGCTTCCTTCAAGGTCAAGGAAGTGATTGGTTTGTTCATCACATACAGTCGCACACATTCTGCACTATGCAGTAGATTTAGTTGTTTTGAATGACCTCAGAGTAACGAGAACATCAAGTCACTTAGGGCTCTGTTGAAAACTGCGCTATTCGGTAGGCAGGCAAATAGTCACTTATGAATGATCAATACCTGACGCACGGAACTCCAAACTCCAGTACTAGATCCAACACATAGAATTGTTATTTTTTAATGGGCATTTACTCCGCCAAGAACGGCGTTGTTTCAGCAGATCACACACAAAGACAACCTCCAGGATTTATGGATCTGTTGTTATGCCATCCTTTTTTAACCGGTGGTGGCTGGCTGTCAACCACTAAACCAAGCAAGTGAACTGAACCTTTACCCATCTGTATTGATATAAACAACGGCCAATGAAAGCTATTTTGTGGAAGCTCATTAACAGCATCACTTTTACTAGGGCATCGGCACATACCACTGATGAAACATGCGAGTAGTATCTGGACTGATGCCAAAGCTCCGTCCCCGCATAAGATGAAAGGTGAAGGTAGGCAAACACCTAATGGAACCGCTTTGCAGTTTTTGATCATTACTGTCTATTATTCAAAAAAACCGTCCAGGAAAGTTAGCGGGGACGCTTGAAAACGCCCACTTTCCATAAACTCTGTGCAGATGCGATATTTACTTCCGAGTCTAATGACATGTAATCGCTTGGTTCATGTTCACAAATGATCAGAATCGCAGTGGATAGCGTTAACACTGCCGGTCGCAGCATGCTTTTCGAGCTGCTAAAATGAGCCATATCTGGATATATTGTGTGTGCAATTAGGGAATGTTGGCTACTTCCCCGGAATCAGTTGGCAGCCAGCGATCATCAAACAGAATGAACCTGCTGCCTACGGGTAATTCATGTGACCCCACCTAATATTTAAGTTTCTTTTTTACAATAAAGCTGATTAAGCTGGGATATTCAGTTTTACGTAGCTAAAAAACAAATAAATCATTC